GCAAACACATCTATATTTAGCTAATATTAAAAAAAAATTTTAAAACAATATTATATATGCCAAATATAGCTGAATAGCAGCTATGTTTACTTACTTAGAGTTTTTTGATTGAATGTAAAATGAATAGAAAATAAAAGAAAATTAAAAAGAAAAAAAAAACTGGAGCTACAATAACAATGGCTATTGAGACTAAAACTAAGTCACCTAAACTATAAAATCTAAATAAACAAAAAGAATATCTAAAAGGTAGCCAATAGTCTGGTCCTTGTACCGACACTGGTCTTAGAAACATGACTCTTGTTGATATGGATAGTAGAATATAGTTGACATTGTTTGTTGTTGTGATAGTTGTTGTTGTTATTGTTATATTAAAAAACTGGTTTAAACAGGTTTGGTTTTTTCTTTGTTGTTTTGATGAACTCTGAATAAATGCTTGGAGAGCGATGATCATCTGGAGGGGATAATCTGATTTTGGTTTTTTGGAAAAAATTTTTTGGAGATTTTGGAATAGTGCAGTAAATCGAGTTATGGTAAGGTTGTATGTAAAAGTTGTATTAAAACAAAAAATAGATTCAACAATATTGTTTAAGTGTGTTTTTTGGAAGATATTTAATTTAGTGAGTGTAATTATATTAATATGAATGGTTTTTATAATATAATAGAAAGAAGAAGAGGTACAAAAGAACAAAAAAAAAAGAACTGCCACAGGTCTTTCCTCATGCAACCGAAGAATAAACAAGACTCTCAAACTTGAGTAGATTTTGACCAAATATTCTATCCCACTGCACCAGTTGTCTTGAAGATTTTAAAGTTCTTGAGCTGAGGCTCATTTGCAATAAAGAGTATAAAATATTTTTTCTTGCTTAAAATTATCATAAAAGAAAATTTTTAACAAAACAAATATAATCAAAAAAGAGTTTTTTTTTTATTTAAAAAATTTTTTTCAAACTTGTTTGAATAATATTGTTAGAAATTCTTTTACGTTTTTTGCTTCCCAGAGGCTTTTCTAGTCAAAGTTTTCTTGATTGTCTATTTTTTTGGCACATCTTTTCTGTATTCGATTTTAATTTGCCTATTTCATTAGAATATTTCTCTTGTATATTTTTTTGACAAATTCTTTTATTTTTATATTGATAGGAATCTTGTTTTAGCATAATATTGTTAGGACTTCTTGCCAGTATCAACTGTTTCAACAAATCTCAAGTTTTTCTTTTGCTACTTTAGCGAAAAGATCTACCTTGTTATTAGCCTTGTTCTTATTATAAACTTTTACTTTAGTCATTTTAATCATGATTTGTTTTTTGTGTATTAGGTTTATGCATCTCATTCACAGTTGTCAATTCTTCTGCTTTCTGTTTTTTTTTTCTATATCTCTAATATGAGGGTTTAAGAACTTTTGCAAAGTGTTAATACATGTTGTGCAATCTGTTCTGATTTCTATTTGACTTTTTTGAGATATAACTAAAAGTATTAGAATGATTGTAACAAGTTTTGTCCAAAGTGTTAATGGTTAGTTGTCTACTTCTGCTTGGAAGGATTTTTCTGAATTTAATTCTTGGACTTGTAGTCAGGCAGTTCCTATTTTTAATGTTTGGTCTTTTGCTTTGCCATATAATGTATCTATATAAAAACAATAGGACTGTTAGAAATTGTTTTCTTTATTGATTCTGTATTCTTCTATTAGGACTTGTATGTAGTTTGGAGATTGGATATGTTCTTTGATTATTAGTACTCCCCAGTCTTCTATTTCAACTGTCATAATGCAGTTGTCAGTATTTTCTTTTTTCTTGAAATATTCTAATTATTTTTTGGCAAGGTTTTCCAAGATCTATATGCTAATTGGAATTTTTGATTCATCTGCTTTTCTAAGAGTTGAACTATGGTTCCGAAAATTAGAATTGAATAGAATTACAGGAAATTGCAAGAGGTTTGGAATATTATTAAAAATAATAATAAGGTATACTTCACCTATTAAATTTAATATAAACTTAAAAATCAAATACAGAATTGAAGAAATTATTAGGATCCTTAAGTTGAACATTGATTAATAATATTACGTGATAATGATCTGGTCTTTGATCTTTTGTTGCCTCTGTAAACCTTAGTTTTAATTGATAAACTTATTGTTTTCTTGTTGATCTGGGATTGGATGATACCTTTTTTTCTTTGTAGTTTAACCATGTTTGATCTGGATTTTGTTTTTAGATTATAAACTTCTGCTTGGAAAGCTTGATAGTCTAAGTCTCTTTTACTTCTATATTAGATTATTTGTTTGTTTGGTTCCTTTGAATTTGTAATCTTTCAATTTCATCAATATTAGTTTTTGTTTAAATTAGTTGAGAAAAATCTTTTATCTTGCTCTTTCCAATTCCAATTTTGCCATTTGTTATTTAGAACATTATATTTATTCTTCAGGATGGATTGGATTTTGCTAAACCATAGTGGTATTGGTTCTTTGCTAGTGTTTAAAAGAATTTGAATAATTTTTCATAGTAGCACTGTTTTGCTATTACTATCAATTATTTGATTTACAAAAATTATTTTGTGCTTTCTTAAAGATAGAATTGCTTTCTGATATAACTTTGTATTGTTGAGCATATTCTTGATGAATAGTGAGCCTCCTTTTCAATCAAAGCAATTTGACTATCAGGAATTGAATATTGTAATTCCTAGATTATTAGCAATTTTTAGAACTTGGGCCAAAAGGTTTTTTGAACAACTGAATAATTGAGAAATATCCTTGGTCAATATATTGCTTGGTTCCCAATTTTGAACTTAAGCTTGTTTGAGACAAATTAATGTGAATATATTGGCTGAACCCATATCACATAGCCTATTTATAAAGTTAAAGATCTGATTCTTTGCTTAAATTTTCTTAATATTTTTAATTTTATAGATCTTCTTGTGATGGATAGCTAAATTGAAAATTGCTAAAACCAATCCTGTTACTTTCTTTAGAATCTTTCTTAACTATACTGTTAGATTGTTACATGTATTCTGATCTAGAAAACAGTATTGCATTCGATATTCTATGTACAGAATAAGCACTCTATTTAAAATATACTCTATGTACTTGCCTATTACTTTTTTCTTTTGGAGACTTGATATCATTGTTGTGATTTCATGTTTGATACAATGGATTGTGTCACAAAGATTTATAAAATTTTATAATTCATTAATATTTTTTAAAAGCTTTGCTTTCTGTCTATTTCTTTTGTTAATCTAAAACAATTAATTATTAAATTGTAATAAATAATAAAAATTAAAAAAGATAAATTTATAATTATACTATTTTAATATCTGTCTTATATAATCTTTTTTATTTTTATTTTTTATTTTATTATTTTTTTTTATTGTACAGATAGGTGACACTACATTACAACATTTTTATAATACTAAAAAAACAAAAATTTGATTTTTTATTTATATAATCAATTTAGTTATTTTATTAGAAAAAAATAAGTTTATTAGTAAGTTGCATTTCCCTTATGTTTAATAACTTCTTTAATATATTTTGGTATTGAATCTATAAATTTTAAAACAGTTTGAAATGCTATAGCATTCTATGCAGCAAAAACTACCTTTTCTAAATCTGCTTCTGTTCGTGATTTTCTATTTTTAAGAATCTATTTTTTAACTTTCCTTCAAATATTCTCAATTGAACTAAGGTCTGATAACCGAAGTAGCTATTTCATCATCTCAATTTTGCAATCTTTGTTAAGCCTATTTATAAATTTACTTTTATGTATCGAAGCATTATCTTTCTGGATTATTATCTATTGTCATGGGCTAACCGGTAAGTCTGTCACCAAAAATAGGTAAACTTCATGTAACATGGGTTTAAACTTTTGAGGCATGTCACGATTTGACCGATCTGGTTTTGCTTCCTAACTTTATACCAAACGTCCTATACTGGAACTCTTGTAGTTGCTAGAACTTTTCCAATCTTTCTAGCTGAACTCTGGTTTGTATAATCATGTGAGCAAGGTATGGGTGTGAAAACAATTGATAGAAATAGTAAACACAAATAAGAGTTTAAATGCTTCAAGTTGGATTTCTCAGTAAATGTTACCTAAAGTCTGCTTGGCTTTATTTCACTTATTTGATGATCATATTTATACATGCTAGTTTGTTTACATGCTAGTATTGTTTACATGATAATCGCTTTGCGTCACACAATTACATAAGGTATTCTACTCTAATTTTCCCACCACTACTTTCCCACTGATTCTACCATAAACATACCATTTATGCAATACAACACGTACCATGTCATTGTACCCCACTTTTTACCCATGACATTATTTATTAATCATAGTTATCAGATAAATTATTTTTAAAACAAGATTTTTATATTCTTCACTATTCATATGAAATGAGACATGGGTTAAATGAATTAAATTCTGTTTGTTGACACATTCCCAAACTATAATAGATTTACATTCACTTTTAATCATTGCTTATGTACAGTCAGAATCATAAAGTTCACTTTTGTGACATTAAATACAGATTTTTCCATGTGAATTAGTGCTAATTGATGACTCATCAGTCCAAAGAACATGTTGCCAATCTTCTTTTTTCCAATGCTTGTATATTTTGACCCATTTGATTTATTTAATTCAATTTCTTTCACTAATTATTGGTTTCTTTCATGCAATATAAGATTTAATATTGCTTTTCTTAAAATATCTTATTAAAATATGTGATAACATTGTTCTGTGTGAAATTTCAATCACAAGTTGATGCTTACAAAGGTTTTTTGCAATTTAGGCTACTTGATTCAAATGTTTTTTGAATTTTGTCCCTATTAAAGTAATGAATAAATAATTATGTCCCTTCAAAAGGGACATAATTGATCTGCAAAATTTTATATGCTAAATAGTTTAGGACCAATCCTTACTTATAAAGATAGTAACTTATAGTTTTGATAGTAACAGGTATTGTCAATACTTTATTGAGTTTTTGAGCAAGTTCTTCTAATGTTATTTGTCAATTTTTCTTCACTTCATAAGTAAGCAATCTAAGATTATGCTCCATAGCAATTGAAGGCCATCCACTTCAATATTCAATAGCCATTTACCCCTTTTCTCGAAACCCTTTAATTGTGTGAAAAACTTGAAATTTGGAGTGACCGAGCTTGTTGGCAATCTCATGTATAGAAGTTCTACTTTCTCACTGACCAATTATTCTGCCTCATTCAAAATCAATCAGCTGGCAAATTTGTGGGTATTTTTTTAGGCTTAAGACAAAGTTCAGAAGCTAAAGCTTCCGGAAAAAAAATCTGTTTATTTTAGTTGGATGTTCGGGTTTATAATGGTCATGTAGAATCAGTAGTGTGAAACAATATTTAGTGTAACATTTCACGTGTCCCAATGCTTAGTTCCAGTCAGTGTATGTAGTATTAAATAAATAATCATCATTCAAGGTGTGTAAGAGACTTCTTGTCTGGCTAAAAATTTGTACAAATTGAGTATGGATTTCTTCCCACTCTTTCATCAAATCGTCTAGCCATGTAGTACTTAAACCACTCTTTAATATACTGCGACGTAATAACTCTTCTCCGATTAGCCTATCCCGATCTGTTAAAAATTTACGATATTTTCTAGGGTCTTCTTTTCTTTTTATTCCACCATGATAGAAACGTATATCTCTTCCAAATCCCTACGAAAACATCCCATGGTCCACCTATTTTTCTCAGCCTCTGTAATGATCGAAAATTCTTTGGGGTTTATTCCATGTTCGATGACATACTGATAAAGGCGATTTTTGTTTGGATCAGTCTTGGAAATTGAGGATTCAGAAGTTTCAGACTTTATCCAAGGATCGAGTCCAGTCTCTTCCATATATGCTTTATATAATCTAGAACGAATTTTATCTGTCTGAGAACTTGACTAAATTAGCATGCCATTTGTTATAATCAACCGTTAATATCTTGCTAGAGGTAGTATTAGAAGACATGTTATCGTTTTATATTAATGCAAGTCAATTCAAAATCACGTAGCTGTCAAGAAAAAAAATATCGCTATCTACTTGATTAGGTTTATGTAATTATTTACTTACGCAGTTATTTCAATTTCTTGTTGTTCACATTTAATAAAATAGGATCCAGCTTCGTATCTACCTTTTATACTTTTTCCTTCCTCATGACTTTGTTTGCGTCCCCTCATGAATTCCATAATAATCAAATTTTTCACTACTAAATTCTTTATATACTGTAGATCAGAATATCCCCACACTATCTTATTACGGTCATGGATCAGATTACAGTATTCCGTTTTTCAAATAAAGTCGTTTTGAGCTGAGGTGTATATGGTATACTTGTCTCAGTCTTTGGCAAATCGCCTGGACCTGGGGAATTATAGATATGAGTCGTATTATTGGGTGATGCTTCAGTATCTGAGACACTTACCTCGGTATTGGGTAAAGATTTGAAATCCTCAGTTGAGATCACATGATTTTGATCGTTTCCCAGGGAAACGGGTTTTGAAGTTACTTGATTTATAATATCTTGAATTTGTGCATTGGTTAATTTTGAAATATCATTTGCACTGCAGGTAACATACTTAACTTTATCAATTCCAACTCCGCTTTTCCCAAATAGCTTAAGAATTTTTCTGACCCAAAGAGTCTTAATTCACAAGGCAACTGATGTAACACCTGGTAGATGTTCTAACATCTCTTTGTATATTTGGGTTCTTGCAGTTTTGTCACTAACTCCTGTCTTATGTCGAATTTCGATAACTTTATTCTCAAAATTGTCTGAATAGCGAATTCAGGATAAAATTTCTTCATGTCCAGATAGTATATCTTTTCTAAACAAATTGATTAAGTTTTGTGCTGTGATTTTAGATGATTTTTTATTATTCACGATGTCTTCGGGAGGTGTTTCTATAGGATCAGGTATCGCAATAGCTGTAAAGCTAGCCTCTCGGCTAAGCATACCATTCCGTAAATCCCGTATTAAATCTAATTCTATATTTTGATTTTTAGTAAGCTCAATTTCATCAGAATTGTCAAGATCTTCTGCCGGTAAAGAAGTATTCAGAATAGTTTTTTGCTGATTGCTTATTTGGGAAGCAATATCTACACTACTTTCAATATTATCACGATCGTTTCCCTGAGAAACGGTTTTTATATCACATGATGATTTATCATATAATGTAGAGTTTTGGGCTTGAAGCTTCTCCTTATTGTGTTGCCTTATTTTATCACTAACGCTTTTCTTATGTGCCTCATTCAAGAATTTATCCATCTCTCTGTCCTCCGATGACTTGGAATTGACCTCTGGTAACACTTCTGATACCGCATCATTTGCTTTACAAACAGGTGCATGTTGCTTGAGCAGGTCTACTACGGAATCATCATCATCTGCAGATAGCTCTGGTAATATCTCTAGTATCGTTTCCTTAGATGCGTTAGCATCCTCACTCTGTGGGTCATTCTGTGGTTGTTCATCCACTGCCACAGAACTCTGTTCCACTACTGAAAGCCTAGCCTCAAGCTCTTTATTCTTTTGCTTTAATTCCTCGACCCTAACATCACGTTTTACATTCTCCTCAATAATCTGCTTCAACATTGCATTCTCCTTTCTAAGCTCGGCAATCTCGGCTACAAGCTTGGAATTTAATTCCTTCAATGAATCGATTTTGGATTGAGTGTTTGACATTACTTTATATAAAAAGCGCATTATTCAAATTGTGATCTCATAAGCTCGAAAAAAGAAAAAAGCCATCTTAACACATTATATGTAACTTAATCATCAGGCTTCGAGCGCTCACAGTCTCTGTTCGAAGTCACTTATATTTGTTAAATTATTGAATATAACAGTAGACACAAAGTGTCCTGCTTCGCAGAAATTCCGATAATGAACGTAGAGAATTGTTGGGCGAGAAGGCGGATTAAATTCACGTGATTAAATTGTGCGGGACATAATGCCAAGAAAAAACAAAACACGACTGATATGTTCGATAAAGTTCTTCGCTTCGATGGGAAGAGTTTTTAGGGTATGAAAATAATAGTCATCCAGCGTATTCGTTGCTTCTGTTACAGTGGCATCGCTATCTAAATTCTCCTCTTCCTCGTCCCCACATTAATGAACATGACACTCATATGTAGAACTCAAGTTTATATGCGATCGCACGAAATTTCTATTATTAGCGCAATGACAAATATCAAATGCTTTATTACAAAGTGACTCTATAATGTTACAACTTTATTGCAAGAGAAACTGATGAATCTTGGCCAATGCTGTAAGCACTGTCTGTCTTCCATCTGGTTGTGCAAGGTCGAAACCACTCCTCAAACCATTTTGCCCAGGCCATCGTCGAATTACAACTACCTGTGTTTTCGGCAAACCCCTACCAAGTTCCTGCAAATATGCTTTAGGAATCTCTGCCTTATAAAATGTAACATAAGTTGAAATGACACGAACAGCGAATAAATTCTGATCCGTAACATTCTCCCTTGTATTTTCATCGGCCACAGCAAGTATTTCAGCAAGTATTTGTGCTTCCCCAAAATCAGTCGTTGCTTTAAAGTTTTTTAAATGTTTATCCTGTTCGGAAAAGATTTTTGAGTCACCAAGAAATATGGGCCCTAAGAATAATAACACACAAACCTCGACAATCGTCATAGCAACATTTTTCTTCTCTATTATAAATTCAGCTACTGCTGTGACATTTATATCACTAACAGATAGTTTATAGCTTTCTTTGAGTCTAGATTTGGAAGTGATGCAAACTTTAGAAGTCATTATAGCACATAACAAAGACATTTTTTAGTATTACTCACTTAACACCCAATGGCCAATTATCGAAATCAATAGCGCGATATAGTAGATGGGTTACTAATGAGTCGGTCTTAGATTCCTCCGTTCCTATGTCGAGGCCTGCATTTATGACAACTTTGTGAACTTTGTGAATAAATCTTTTGGCATGTCCATCCGAAATTCTGATCTTGTCAACATCGAAGGTAGAACTTTCGAGAATAGCACGACCGATGTTTGGGAGAACGTATGTATTTGGAAAGTTCGTGGCTAGGCAATATTTAGACTATAAGTATAGGTTCCCGAAAAGGATTGTTGACACAACTGAGTTCTTACCTCTAACATTGGGTATGACTTCGTTTTCGTCAACAGCCGGTATGAAGATCGCATTCAGTGCCTCCATATCTTCTCTTGTAAATTTAGAAGCTGAAGGAGGAAGATCATTTAGGCCATAGCTGGAACGGGAGCCGGAACTATAACCGCTAAGGTTCGCAAAAGACGAGTCCTGTTTGGCAAGGCGCTCAGGTTGTTGACGAGAGGCAGAAGAGCTCGCACTTTCGGTTTCAACATTTTTTCTTTTTTTTGAAGTTTTTGGAGAACTCTCACTTTTGGCGCTTTTTTGTTTCTGTTTCCGGCTTTTTGAAGACATCAGTAACACAGAATAATACAATCAATCAGCAGGTCACACGATTACATCATGCATGCAGAAGTTCCATGACCTTCTGTGATATAGCATGTGATGTGTTGATCGAACATCTGTGTTACGCAATCGATTTCGGGTTACTTTGTAATGAGCTTCGCTCTATATCATGCATGAAAAGTTCCATGACCTTCGATTTTATTCTGTGGTATATGTATTACGGAGTACAAACATCTTAATCTGTATTACCCAATCGATTTTTCAGGCATATAATCTTATTTCCGATAATCGATTTTATGTGTGGTAATAAGAGGTAATATTTTTCTCAATGCTGGATCTGCTTTAATTTCACAAGGGATTTGATGTTTAAAGTGTTTATTGAATATAGATTTTTAAACACTATTTTTTCTTTTTAAGTAATAAGTAGATTTTGTTGATTTTAGCTGTGTGATACAATTTTTAACTGCTGTTGTGGATCATCTAATTATTTGTACAATTGGAGTGAAAGACATGCTTTTTTTCTTAAGTGTTTTTATCATATAGTATTCTTCATTTGTGAGATTTTTTTTTGTTCCATTTGTTAATTAACCAGTATTTTCATTTCATCTCTTGTTTAAATAAATAATTTGAACAAAAACAAATTTTTTTATTATTACAAATAATAGTGTTTATATGTATCTAATGCCTTATTATTATGATTTTGACTTTTGCACATATTAAATTTTTTTCAATCATTCTAATGCAGTATCACCTGTCTGTACACCAGCAATAATTGTTTGACTAAAAGGTATTCCTAATAATGATGTTTATATTTATCTGAGACAATACTATCTAAGACAATGTTATAAAATATCAGTTACTAGTAACATCCAACTCTTATTGGGATTGCTCCAAATAATGAAATTTGTTATAGCTTGTTCCTAACTATATTAAGTATAGAGACTAATCTACTGAACAAAGAAATTTCTTTATTTGATTAGTAGTGTGCATTTTCATTAATAATTAAGCTTTATTTCTAATTGGAGAAGAATTAAAGAAAAGTTAAAGAAGGGCACTAGGAGTAATACCTATGGCAAATAAAGCTACATAATTCTTACTTGCTTCATTGAGGATAAATTCCTTTATCACTATCTGCAGCTAGGCTAATCATTTAATTTTTTACCTGTTCAATTGATACCCAAGAACATTCAAAGTACTTATAACTGGTGCCTATTGCCTGAACATTGACTTATATAACTTTGCAAGGAACAAAACTTATAGCCAGATGCTTTCTTAGAATAATTACCATTAAACCAGTTTATTATTGAATTGGAATGAGACTAGAGCAAAGATTTGCATAAAAGATATCAAATATTAGAAGAATAATCATCAAACCTACTTGTCGAAAACAGACATCTTATACATCTTGCAACTTCTGATAATTATTGTAATATCAACCAAATGATCATTACATTATGACATCTTTTTTGAAAATCACAATCTTAATATCCACTAGATTAGCATATGAAACAGCTTCTTATGAGAAATAGTGCTTTTATAGATTATAATGCCAAATATCATATTAATTTTATTTAATCACCCTTATATAAGATTGAATTGATATTTTGTGATTTGACTTGTAAAGTGTTAATTACTATACTATGGGCCCACAGGTTATATAATCTTTTTTATTAAATATTCAATATGGATTTTTAATATATGTTTTGTGTAAAGTTTTATAGATCTCTATGATTATACTATTTATTGCTCCATATTTTTTTATTGCAGATATTAAATGATAATACCAGGTATGAAGCTTTGGTAATTACAATTTACTTTGTGAATATGAAACAAATATTTTAATAAATTTTTAAGCTTAATTATTAATAAACATCTATAATAGAAAGTATTATTAATTAATGCAAATATGATTAATTTAATTTAATATTACTCATTTTTAGTTTATCTATAGAATTGTTATTAAACAATTTCATTTAAAATATAATATATATTTGAAAAAATTTATAATAAATTTAACATAACTATTTATTGCTTATTCCTGACTTTCTATAATTATTATATAAATTATTTAGTGGAAAAATTATTATTTTTATTATATTTCACAATTCATTAGCAATTAAACAAGTTATATTAAATATATTTTTTATTATCTTTAAGTTTTGAAATTGAGGAATCAATAAAAATTGCTTTTAAAAACTTGAATTACTTGATTTTTATACTGTTTATATAGTATTTCTTTTGTAAAATATAATATATATTTAAAAAGATCAAAATCTAATATATGCATATGATATGAAACAATTGCTTCATATATATTAAAGTTTCTAAAAAAATATTTGACAATATTAATTTAATATTTTAATTTTACTGTAATTAATAAATTATATTATACCTTAATTTTCAAAATATATTTATTTCATGATGAATTGAATAATATTGAAAAATATTATCATTAATCACTTGTCTTATATTATTTAATGTTTTATATAAAATATTGGTTTTATTTATATTATTTAAATCATTTTTTTATATTAAGCATAAGTAGCAAGACTATAAAGAAGTAGATAGCAAATAAATATTGGAAAACTTTTTCACTTTAAATAAGTCAGCCAATATTATAGAAAGTTGTGAAATAAAAGTAGTTATATCATTATGAATTACAAAATGAAATTCTAATTCTTTAATTATGGATTTAAGAATAATTAATAGACACTTCTGAAAAACTTCTCTTTGTAATTTATAGAAATTTTCAAAGTTCTTTGTTTTAAAATTGTTGGCTTTTAAAATCAAAAGATATCCAATTAATGTTTTAGATTTCAGTTTATTTCTTTGAAAGTTTGGTATATTACCAAGTGATAAAAAAATAAGATATTTAGATAATTTATTTATATAGTCTAAAGTCATTATATCTGAATAGAGAATAATCAATAATAATTATAGACCTGGGAGCAAATATGATTCTTTATGCTTTTATCAATTTAAATTAAATTGTTCTTCAAAAACTTTATATTTGATTTCATTTTTTATTTCAATTTTTTTTTATACTTAAGTATCAAAGACTTATTAATACTATTGATTATTAATAAAAACTTTTTTTTGGGGAGGTTTCCCCTCATAAGTAAGCATCATTTCTTTATTTGATATTGTATATAACATGGTATACATCATGAAAGAAACAACATTTCTTACATACATATGTAGCAAGTTAAATGCTAGCCTGCCTATACGAACACATCTAGCTAATATTGAAAAAGAAATTCAAAACAATACTATATATTAGCTGTGCCTGAATAGCAGCTATGCCTATCTACTCAGGAAATTTTGTGAATTCTTTTGATTTTTTAAATGTAAAAAATTGAAAAGAAAAATGAAAATAACTATAACTAGAACTACGTTAAGTAAATTATAATCTATAGGTAGAAAACTACTATTTCCCCTCGGAAGCTCCCAGACAGGCTCGTTGTCCCATCTCTCCGGCTCATTGGTTACCATAGATAATAGAGTATATGTGACGTTGTTTATTATTATAGTTGTTGGTGGTGTATTAGTTGTTGTTATTATTGTGATCATTATTGTAGTACAAAACTGGTTTGAGCTTGTTCAAGTTTTGTTTTGATTTTTAAGTGAAATTTGATTGGATTATTGAAGAGCACTGATCATCTTGAGGGGATAAACTGATTTTGGTTTTTTGGGTGAAAATTTTTTGGAAATTGAAAATGGCGCAGCAAATATTACTATGAAAATATTGTGTATATGGGTTGACTTAAAACAAACAGTAGATCCATTAACTCTGTTTGTAAATGTGATTTGGAAAGTATTTGGTTTGGCGAGTATGATGGTGATAATATAGATGGTTTTTATAATATAATAAAAGTAAGGTGGAATGCAAAAGAACTGAAAAAAAGAGAACTGCCACAGGCCTTTTCTCATGTAACCGAAGGATAAGCAAGACTCCCAAACTTGAATAGACTTCAACCAGAGGTTCCATCCCACTGTATCAGTTGTCTTGAAGGTTCTTGAGTTCCTGAGCTGGGGCTCACTTGCGATAAAGAGTGTAAAACATTTTTTTTTGCTTAAAATTACCATAAAAGGAAAATTTTTAACAAAACGGATGCGATCAGGAGAGAGTTTTTATAGTATATTTATAATATCTTTTTTAATATCTATCAAAACCTAATGAAATATATATTATTAAAAAGCTTATGATCTAAGGAATACAATGGTAATAAAATTGAAAAATTTTAATAATTGGTTATTAAAATATTATTATTTAACTTTAAAAATTTTTAAAATTTTTGTAGATTAATATCTTTATCAATATTAATTCAAATAAAATAAAAATACTGCGATTTAATAGCCAACATATTAAATTATTAATATTTAATTTTTTTTAATTCTAATTATTAGTTATCGAGATAATTAGATTTAAATTTTAAAATTAATTTCAAGCACATGTATAATAATATAAGGTAAAACCCAAAGTATAGGTAATAGCTATATATGGCCTTGGATCCAGCTATTTTCTTCCTATGCAAGTTTTACCTTATATTATTATATTTATTATTATTATTATTATTTTCAATTAAAATATTTATTTATTATTAAAAAAACAATAAAGTAATTATTAAAAAAATAAAAAAATATAATATTGTTACTAAACTCTTTCCTGTCAATTACCAATTTCCTTATTAAAAAATCTTTTCAAGAAGGAAAAATTTCACCAAGTTTTTCTCTTCCAAGTATTTCAAACCCCAAGAAACAACTTTATTCAGGTATATCATTGCAAACACTATAACAACATTAACTCTATCAATTTATAGATAACAAGTGATCAACCTAAATTATCTTCTTTTTGCAAAAGAGGAAGATAAAAACCAAGTTTCTTGATTCACAGTAAGGTCTCAGGAAGCCAGCATCCTTGCCACCACTACAGTCAGTCGTGTGCCAGGTTAGACACCTTTTCTAGACACTGTAGAAACTCAAGGAAGGCCAGATCTCATTCGATAAATCAAACAACCTTACTATCTTTCTTGAGCTAGAAGAACACTAGACTTTCTATCAACTATACAAAGATAAGGAGAAAAATCTTATCGTACATACTCTCAATTCATAAAAACCAAAAAAACTCAAACCAGTTTACCCTCTCCAATTCCAACATATCACGAAAACGTACTCCAAAAGTACTTCCAACAGTAAACAAGTAAACAACACAAACACGTGACAAAATTGAAGCAAAATCTCAAATAAACAAACACATGCAAGAAACTACATACAAAACAGCAACATATAAATAGCCGCATGTAGTAACCACATGTAAACAACCATATGTCACAACAAACAACAACTCAAATCCAAACAATCACGTGTCAAACACATAACAAGTAATAATGTCCAAACAAAACCCAATTACAATATTAGAAAATAAATCAAATAACAATACAACAATAACGAATCCCAATCCCAATCTTTTACTGGATATCATCCTAGTAAATAGAACAAGGTGCTATATGTC